GTTTAAGAAGGGTTGGTATCAGTTCTTTGTTAAAGGTCTGATAGAATTCAGCAGAGAATCCATCAGGTCCTGGACTTTTCTTTTTGGGGAGACTCTTGATTGCTGCTTCAATTTCATTTTGTGTTATAGACCTATTCAGGTGATTAATTTCCTCTTGGTTCAGTTTTGGATGATCATATGTATCTAGAAATCTGTCCATTTCTTTAAGATTTTCAAATTTATTTGAATATAGGTTCTCAAAGTAGTCTCTGATGATTTCCTGGACTTCCATGGTGTTTGTTGTTATCTCCCCTTTTGCATTCCTGATTCTACTAATTTGGGTTTTTTCTCTCCTCATTTTAGTCAGGTTTGCCAGGGGTCTATCGATCTTGTTTATTTTTTCAAAGAACCAACTTTTTGTTTCATTAATTCTTTGTATGGTTTTTTTGGTTTCTATTTCATTGATTTCAGCTCTTATTTTTATTATTTCTCTCCTTCTATTTGTTTTGGGATTTGCTTGTTCTTGTTTTTCTAGGAGTTTGAGATGTATCATTAGGTCATTGATTTGGGATCTTTCAAGTCTTTTTAATATATGCACTCATGGCTATAAACTTTCCTCTCAGACTGCCTTAGCTGTGTCCCATAGGTTCCGGTAGGTTGTGTTTTCATTTTCATTGACTTCCAGGAACTTTTTAATTTCCTCTTTTATTTCATCGATGATCCATTCTTCATTAAGTAATGAGTTATTTAGTTTCCAGCTGTTTGCATATTTTTTGTCTTACTTTTGTTGTTGAGTTCTACTTTTACTGCATTGTGATCAGATAGTATGCACGGTATAATTTCTATTTTCTTATATTTGCTGAGACTTGCTTTGTGCCCTAGATATGATCTATTTTGGAGAAGGTTCCATGGGCTGCTGAGAAGAATGTATATTGTGTAGAAGTTGGATGAAATGTTCTGTAGACATCAAGTAGGTCCATTTGATCTATTGCATATTTTAGATCTTGGATTTCTTTATTGATTTTTTGTTTGGATGACCTATCTATTGATGATAATGGGGTGTTAAAGTCTCCCACAACCACTGTGTTGGCGTTTATATATGCTTTTAGGTCTTTCAGGGTATGTTTGATGAAATTGGGTGCGTTGACATTGGGTGCGTACAGATTGATGATTATTATTTCCTTTATTGTCTGTTTTTGTTGAGTTTATTTTATCTGTTATTCATTGTGTTCTCTCTTGCACTTTGGGTTTTATACCAGTGCTTCTATGGTTTCCTTATTTCTTCTTTTTTTTTCAAAATTCTTCTTATTTTTGTTGTCCTGGGAATTCTTGAGTTCCTCCTGTACATTTTGTTGACATACCAGTATCATTCTCTATAAAGATCTCATTGACTACCTGTAGTATGTCTTCTTTAAGATTATTTTGTGGCTTCATTTGCTTTGGCATAGTTTATCTTCATTTTTTGAGTCTGGTCTGAGTACCGTTTTCTTCATTCCCCTCTGGTTTGCCTTGTACTAAATTTTTTGCTGTGGGAAAATGGTTTCCCTGTTTTTTCTTGTCTCCGTCATTGTCTTTGTGTTTGTTACTGTTCCTTCACAGTGTGCAATTAAGTATTTTCTAGCTTGTAATAATAACAATGGTAAATATTAGAATGGAAGGGTGAGCTGAGATGGAAAGCAAGAAGTTAAAAGAAAAGGGAAAACAAATACACAGACTGGAGGGAGAAAACAGAACAAGGTATCAGAGAAGAAGTTTCAAAGGTTAAACAGGGAGCTTTAGTGTACTAATCGACAGTAAGCTGAACAGACATTAGAGAGAAGAGAAGGATTGAAAATCAAATAAAAATAAAAGGTAAGAAAAAAATAATAAATAAGTAAATGAAAGAAAAATCTTATTGTAAAATGAATTAAATAAAATGAAAAAATAGAAAATAAAAAAAACCAAAAAACCTCCAAGTTCAATGCAAGTGAATTCAGTCCCCAATCCTGAGATGGTGCCTTAGATGTTGTTCTGTAGTTGTCTCATCAAAGGGGATGCATAAAGTAAGAACAAAACTAACACACACACACACACACACACACACAAGAAAACCCCACCAGTTGTCCCAAGTTTCAAATGCAATACAGTTTCAGTAAGTTTTTTAGCTTGCAGGTGTAAATTTGGTTGTTCTCTCATCAAAGGTAGGGAGACAAGAAAAAAAAAAAAAGATCTGGAACAGTTCTGAGAAATGGAATCTGCAACTGTGGCTTGCCTGCCTATGTGTCAGCCTGCCTGTTTGCGGGCGTTATTTTATGCAATCTCTGGGGTGAGCTTAACTCACCTGGCCCCTGCAGGCTTTGTTTGCTCAGAGTTTCTCCTGTGCGGGAGCCTCTGCTACAGCTTTCCCTTTCCAAGCACTGGGAAAGGTGACACTGCCCCGCGTTTGTCAGGCCTGCGTGTTTATTTACAGTTCATGTGGGAGGTGGTCTTCCCCCTCTCCTGTGCAGTTCTCCTTCCACCCTGCTTTCACAAGCTTTCCTGCTCCTGATTACTGGGCCGTACTGCTGCTCCTGCCAGCCACCATGTTTATTTACAGTTCACGTGAGAAGTGGGTCTTCCCTCCTCTCCTGTGGAGTTTTCCTCCCTCCACCACTCTCACAAGCGTCCCTGCTCCTGGTTGCTGGGCGCGCCCTGCTCCCGCCAGAGCCTCTCCGTCCCACCCGGCTTGTTTATTTACAGTCCTGGGAAGGATTCCCTTCCCCCAATCTTCAGCGCTCAGGGCGCCCCACCCTCTTCCCTGCGTGTCTTTATTGCTGTTATTGCTTATTACTCAGTTTCTCTTTTTTCCCCTGGTGGAGGTTGGTCTGTCCAGGGGCTATGCTGCTCTGGCCCAGGCTTGTCTGTGGGGCTACCACGGTACTGTGAAGCTCACCTGGTCCGCGTATTCCCAAGCCATCTCGGCGCCACTGACTGGCGGCCCAGGTGCCCTACTGGTTTCTCCGTTTAACGTGACGTGGAGATTCTCTGCGCCTGCTGGAGGTGTGGAGGGGTCAAAGTTATGCCTTTTCTCAGTGATTATGCCTGTAAAGTGTGTCTCCAGCGTCTCTCCAAGATTTCACTATAGGAGGCTCGCTTTCTGCTTCCTCCCTCTAGCTGCCATCTTAGAAAGATCAAGAGTATCTTTTTTAGATAAACATAATCTACTGTTTGGTATCTTCAGTTTCTGTTACATTGTAGGAAATTTGTTTGCCCAATGGCAGATTGGTCAGAAAGTGCTGACATAATGGAGAATCACTCTGGGAATCAGTAAACTTGAGATTGGCTTGCTAATATGAGTACTAAACAAACTTAGCATAGTATGAATCATGTATGGTGTTGTAAAGGTAGAAAGAACCCATGGACTGGGGAGTGAGTTAAGCAGTAAGAGTGCCTGCCTAACAAGCATGAAGCCCTGAGTTCACATTCCAATGCTGCCAAAAAAAGAAAGAACCTTGACAACCAGCCAACTAATCAATCTCTTTATATTGAAAGATGAAGAAACTGAGACACAAAGAATTTAAATGACCTCTAAAGAACACTGACCTAATGACTGATAAAAATTAGTTACCCTAAAGTCTTATACCACTACACATTATAAAGATGACTAGTTAGCACTTTTTAAAGAACAAAATCAGGACCTTTGAGATTAGGTCTTTACTGAACAAACAATTCACAGCGTCATCCAGTTTAAATTCCATGATAATAGAAATTGTTTCTGTCTCTCATATACTAAATCTATTAGCTTTTAACTTAGTATCCCTCAAGGACATATTTGTTGATTGAATAGTTGATTGACTAATTACAGAATTATATAATTAGACAATAATTTTTATAGCGTGAATAATATAGTTAGGCAATAAGAAAATATTCTGATACAGAAAATTATATCACTTACAATTTATTTCTTTTCAGGGAAGTAATATGAGTGGTTACATACATATATTTTAATAGTCCCAGCACTGCTCTTTGCCCACCATGGGCAAATAAATTTTTTAAATCATATAATGGGAATAATTACACCTAACTCGTGTGGCTGCTTTAAAAATTAAATATGATTATATGTATAAGCATTTGAAGTGCCTTCACAGGGCAAATATCCAATATTTGTCCATTACAAACAGTTGAAAAATGAGCACAGTCACATCAAAAATGTGAAGGTTTTTAGAATGTAGGTCAGGATTCACAGTAGAGGAGAAAACTTACATAGCTGGGAATTTTTTTTAGTTTCTGGAAAAAGCAATGGGACATGTTTGTTCATCTACTAGTGTTCTGATGCAGTGGGAATAGTAAAATGCTGCAAGAGTTGTAGTGTGAGAAAAACACTATAAGACACCCATGATCACATCATTTACTGATGATCAACAAGTGTTTGTTAGTGATAATGAAGATACGTATTTTTGCAAATAGAATCCTAAGCTCAGCTTAGGAGGGGAATGTTTGAAATGTTTAACTGTTAAAATCTTATAAAAATATGGAACACTCCTATATCTATTTGTACAAATCTTTGCTCTTTGTGAAACTATGTCTTTGATAAATATTTGCATGAGGTACCTAGCACTGAGAAGAAAAAAAGGCAACACTTAGAAGTATAGGTGTCAGAGAGAAAATGGTAGCCATAATATGTTGAAAAATGTCTTCAAGTGCAATTACAGTTTCAGAAAGATTGAGTTTGGCAATCAAGATTGCACATTTATTAATGCATTACTGAAAAATATAGTATCGCATTGATGACAACAGTGTCTATAAAATTACAAACTAAGTTTCAGGCTTTCACCGTTATGAATAAGGTTAGTCATGTCTCCAATAATTTCTCTTTTCATGAATATCAGAATAAAACATATTAGATCCTCATCACTTACTGGAAGTTTAAATGAGGACCTATTTGCCCAAGTCTAACATGAAGATTTTCAAAGAAAGTAAAATGCTACCAAGGTCTCCCAAATCCCAAAACTATATTGCAACTATTTATGTTACCCCTCTGTTTCTATTTTGTATTGATGCAGATGGACCTTATGGACTTCAAGTTAATTCTGATAAAGGACTAAAAGTAGGGGAAGTGTTTACTGTTGACCTTGGAGAAGCCATCCTATTCGATTGTTCTGCTGATTCTTATCCCCCCAACACTTACTCATGGATCCGGAGGACTGACAATACAACATATATCATTAAGCATGGGCCTCGCCTAGAAGTTGCATCTGAGAATGTAGCCCAGAAGACAACCGACTACGTGTGCTGTGCTTACAACAACATAACAGGGAGGAGAGATGAAACTCGTTTCACAGTCATCATCACTTCTGTGGGTAAGTGTAACATAAAAGGAAAGGAAGAGAACCCCAACAAAACACAAGTGCATGCTAGCCTTGCTTTCCCTTATCTAATACCTATGTGGAGAGAAAATCATTAGGGAGTCCTTCACATACTCACTTCTTAGGTTAACTAAGCCATGGTTTCTGTGACTCAGAACAAAAAACTCAAAACAAAATGGAGGCAAATTCAATCACTAGCTCTGAGGGGCTATGAAGCAAAAAAATTCAATAAATTACTTTTAAATGTGCATTATTGCTTTCCTGAGTTTACAAACAGGAATATGGGAGAAGTAAACTGCTCATTTAGAAAGTTTATATCTTGTGTTGAATGAGGTCAAATGAACAAACTTCCATGAGTTTGAAATCTTGATTTCTATTTGATACACCTTTTTATTATTCTTCATGAGTTCTTCTTCTTTCACCCTTTAAACACCTAAAATCTATAGATATTCTCAGCAGGAGTCTCATGCCTTGGAAATTACAAATTTTTGTAAGTCTATAAAAATAGGCACTCTCTTGAAGTCATTTTATTTTCAGAAATGTCATCAATTTGTGAAAGGTTAAGAAGCACTACCTAAAATATGGATGAACACCCCTTCTGAGCTTTCTCTTCTCTCTACAGTATGATTTCACTCATTCCCATGGTTTCATGTAACATTGATGCATTCCAAAGCTTTATCTTAAAAACTGCATACTCAGCTGCTTTCTGCATGTCTCCACTTGGAAGTACCAGAGGCAGTATAAAAATTCAATATATCAAAACTGAACCATCTTCTTTCCCCACACACTGCTGTTATATCTGTATTCCCTGTCTCTCTGGTATCCATCCTCTTCCTTCTCTTTCTTCCTCTCTTTACTTCTTTTTTTAATCTCTCCTCCCTCCTTCTCCTCTTCTCTTTTGCCTCTCCCTCTTCTTCCCCCTCCTTCTCCTTTGCCTTCTTCTTCTTTCTCTTCTACTACTACTATCAAGTCCTTTCTGGACTCCCCCTTGCATACAGAAAAAGACAAACCAGATTCCACCCAGGGAAAACCTGGGTGCAGGTTTGAACAGGAGGCAGTGGTTAAGGTGCCCATGATTGATGAAGGATCAATGCACAAAAGGTAATGCCATTAATATTTTTCCATTGATTCCCTGTCTTTCTCCATAACACAGAAAGGAGGAATATACTTTGCTGAAGAAATGAAGCAAGGATATAGTCCTAATAATACTTAAGCTAAAGTATTCCATATCTGGCCCTTGAACCGTATCAAAATCACCTGTGGAGGTTGCTAAAAATGTTGTTTAAGACATCTCACACACAATGGATCAGGATCAGGAAAGCAAGACCTGGGTATCTGAATACTTAAAAAGCATACATGTGACAACCACTCGTTTAAAATGTTTTGCATCCATATAATCTTGAATTTATTACAAACTTCTTGAACCATCAATAAGTAAAAGACTGGGTGGGGTGCAGTGGCTCACACCTGTAATCCCAGCTACTCAGGAGTTTGAGATAAGAAGGACTGTAACTCAAGGCCAGCCTAGACAAAAAGTTAGCAAGTCCCTATCTCAGCCCGTAAGCTGGGCATGGCGACGTATATCTGGCCCCAGCTTTGTAGGAGACATAAACAGGAGGGTCAAGGTCCAGGCTGGCCTGGCAAAAATGGAGACCCCATTTGAAAAAGGCAAGATGCATAGCTAATGTGGTAGAGCAACCGCCTAGCAAGCGCAGGGCCCTGAGTTTAAACTGCAGTATCAACACACACATATGCATATGGACAAAGAATTATAAGACTTTCATAAACCTGCAGGTTGGCGAAGTAATATATAGGGGTTGAGGTTCTCCTAGAACTCCTTAAGTTTGAAGGTATTTATATTTGAAGACTTATCTGAGTATATTGGAATTTTATACTGTCATGGTGGGGTTTTGTTGTTTTTATATGAAGAAAGTATTTCACTCTAGAAAACTGCTAGCCAGTAGAACTTTCTACAATGAAGGAAATGCTTGATACACTTTTCAATATGGTAGCCTCTAGTCTCATTTGGCTTTTGAGCAGTTAAAATAGGATTATACAACTGAGGAGAAAAATTCGATTTTTATTTCATCTTTACTAATTTTAATTTCAATGTAAAAACCATATCTTTTTAGTACCTGCCATATTTGGTGATGCAGCTTTAGGATTATGCTTCATTGGAACAGTAAACGATACAATACTTCCCTTGTACACACCCAAAGCACATGAGATTAAGATGATTAAAGTTAGGCAAGCATTCATGCATTACTTAGGATCTATTATGGGCCATATCCTGGAGATCTTCTCTAAAGATTACAGTAATGTCTTTTAACATATCTACACTAATAAAGAAGCATGTATATTTTTTAAAAAAAAGAAAGATAAAGAAAAACAGGTCCAGGCCTGGTGGTACTCCCCTATAATCCCAGCTACTCAGGTGATAGAGGTATGGGTCTCAGAGTCTGGGTCTGGCCCATGCAAAGTTAGCTCAGGAAACCTTATCTGATAAACAACTAAAAACAGAAGGACTGAAGGTATTTTTCAAGTAGTAGAGCACCTGCCTAGCAGTCTTGAGGCCCTGCATTTGGTCCCCAGAACCACAAAAAAAAGTAAGAATTCCTGCTCACAATCACACATGGGTGACAGACATGTTAATGGCTAAGATACATGCTTTGCTTTTCATTTTACTAATTTTTATAAGCTTAACCAGCTTTTTGCCCAAGTAGCTAGCCAAATCATAATGTTACAGTGAACCATAATTAAGCATATAAAGTACCATGGTAGCAATCTAGGTGTCCTCTTAGACTTGTTCTTTATACTTGTTGCAAGTGAAAAATGTGGCTATAATATACAGAAGTGTATCACAGTTAAGGCTCTCCCTAAACTTTCTCCATTAATGGTTAGCCATGCTATTTTCATAATATCAGAAGCCCCCAATATTTGATTAAGATCTTATTACCAAGGCCCAAAGACAGCTCCAGTCTTAATGTCAAATAATTGCCTTTTGCAAAATCTGAAAAACCTGTCTGACCTGTACACAGAGCAGCATTTGTTATTATAGCAAATAGGAAGGGCAGGTGCTCATTTTTCAAAGGGATTCAGGGCTGTCAACAACAGTGACCTCTTTGTGGTTTTCAGAGTGATTGTACAACTCCCAAATATTCACAGAAGTCTAACTCAAACAGCAACAAAATGGGGAAGATAATAGGTAGCATTTATGGGCTTTATTAAGCATTTAATTTTTCTGTTCCTAAGCGAACGAATCTCTGCAATGCAGATTAAGTGTGCACAAACCTAGAGTTTTAAATGACCATAACTATCAATTGAGCACTTACTGACCATCCACTATGCTGAAAAAGCTATGTTAAGGTCTGTGGGGAATTTGAAATTATTTATGAGGACAGTGTACCTACCTTTGAGATGTTTCCAGAACCAATTTGGTATTTGTTGTAGCCACAGTCAAGTTGTAGGAAATAAATGAAGCTTTTTGTTTTAAATGAGGCAAAAAAAAAAAAAATGTGGCCGGCCAAAACGTTTCAGCAATAGATATGGAGAACAAAGGAAAAGGGAGTCAAAGATGACTCTTAGGTCACAAATATGGAAAGAAAATACCAGGGTCAGGAAAATAATCAAAAGTTTTATTGGAGATTTTTCAGCTGGGAAGAGGAAGGCTGGAGAATGTGACAATTAGCAATGTTTTTCTGTCTGTGTAAAACTAGACCAGATGGTGACTTCCACCTTTGTGGGCTATGAATCACATCTAATTGGAGATACTATTAATTGACCTTTCTGTATCTCAGCATAGATATCCTAAAAAGAAAAAAAAAAAAAAACAGAGGCAATGGGCAAGGTCACGCATCTAGTAAGTGATAAAATATCTGAACTCAGTCTTTCTTTTTAACTACTATACAAACATCCCTTTGATGTCACTAAGAATATTAATGGGATTATGGCCTTTCTAAAAAGATACATATATAAGGTCAAACATACAGAATAGAGTGAGCATTTTCTCCTTGCCCTAGCTAATTTAAAGTTATATACATACAGATACTCTGGCTTGTCCATGGCATGTTCATTCTTTACTTTAATGAGAAATTATGAAGTATCTGTAACAAAAAAATGTGGAAGTTCGAAATTGTATTTGAAAAAATAATGATTTTATTTCCTCAATTAAAACCTCTATAAATGCAGACATCCTTCCTTTAAAATATTAAATAAACCTAAATCACTATTATGACATTCAATATTTATATAATGAATATGTTTATGAAAATATAATGATCTGATCAGAATTCAAATGTTCACATTTAATGTAGGGACTCATATGTGTGGCCCTAAGGCCACATGGACATAGCCTGAAATTTAGCTATAATAGAAATTAATTACTTAAAAATTATTTATAGTCCACATTTTTTCACAGAAGGAAAGTAGGAAAAGGACCCAAGACAGGAAAGTGAATTTACTGATTTCTTCTATCTACAAATTTCCCAAGTCAAGGTCTCCATGAGTGGCATTTCACCTCGGGCCACTGGAAATAACAATTGAGATCCAGACCTTTAGACCTTTGGTGACACCCCTGTGAGCATCTCTCTCAGAATAAATGTGTCTGTTAGGTGGAACCATAACGGAGTGTAGAAATAGCACAGCCCTCAACATGGTGCCTTCATCTCCATAGGGATATGAATCAGCTGCCATCATCAGTGAACAGATTGGATAGGAGAGTTCTCGGACACCATTCTCATCTAGAAATAGACACACTGACTGGTAGCATATGGCTGTCCTGTTTTGGGTGCAGTCTCAAACAGCAGGGTTGCGATACCATGGATACCACACCTCTTGCCCATATTTGCACTTACCATGTTATTCCATTTTATTTGTTTGCCTAAGGAGGGGGCAAATAGCATTTGCACTCTGGCTTTGGTAAATGAGTCCATCATGTTTAAATAATAGGGAGAATTGCATTCTATGTGCTAACAAATAGTAAAAACCCTCTGAAA